CAAAAATATTAAGCAGCAAAAACATTGATTTTTCAACACTAATAACTGAGCAGCGAATCAGCATATTAGAATGATTTCTGAAGATCATGTGACACTGAAGACTGGAGTAATGATGCTGAAAATTCAGCTTTGCATCACAGGAATAAATTACACTTTAAAATATCTTGCTATTAAAAATAGTTATTTTAAATGGTAATAATATTTCACAATATTACTGTTTTTACAGCATTTTTTAGTCAAATAAATGCTGCCTTGGTGAGCATAAGAGACTTTTTTCAAACATATTTTTGACTGGTAGTGTATGTAGATGATTCACTAACAAATGAGCAAGCTAAGCTCAAAAGCACACAACAGCAGCACTAACTCGGCTTAGAATATCAGGCTGAATAATTTTTCCACATCACTGCTTCCCACAGCGCTCAGTTTGTTTAAGGACACTCGGCGAACGCAGCGCTGAGAGTGTCTCTACAAGCACGATTTCATCCACCTTATTAAACATCTACAGCAAAGTCCTCCAACACCCCCGAGACACAAACCAACCGCTGAAAGAGGCCCAGAAAATGACACACAAACACTCCCAGTTCCAACATCTCTCACTCAGGGCCAACAAACAATTTGACCTTTCAAGAATAAATAATCCCTTCAAACTCTGCATCTTCACAGCCATCTGTGTTTGCGCTCACTGAGCCAAAATGGTCAGCAGAGCGAGCGTCCAGACAGTCTGTTGTCCGATTCATGGCACAGACCTCCCATTAAGCCCAAGTGAAGACTCTCTTTCCGGGAGATGACGGCCTGCCGCACTCGGTGCTGTGCCAAATTAGCCAGATCTTTGCCTGGGAACAAAGCCGGAGCTGTTGGGCATTGACTGATGACTGGGAACTGTGTCCTGTTGCGGCTGAGACTGCAGTGAGCACACAGACGAGACTGATCTGCTGTCGGCGCTAATCAAGACAGCTGTCTGAACGCACACACAGTCGAGGGAAGATTAGAGGCCCTTCCAGAAGGGTATTAGAAGAAAACTAATGTGTAAGTGCCTTTGGAGAACAAACTCTGGCTTGTACAGTACTGCTGGCTTAGCAGCGTTTTTAATCACTCACTATAGTTGCAACAAAACAAATGGGTAATTTAGTTAGTATACTGTA